CGTAGATGGGTTTATTCATATTGCGCCTGTGCACTTGGGGGCAGAAAATCAATAAACACTAATTTTTAAAAAAAATCATCCGCTATATATATTTTTTTTTAAATTAGTATTTATTGATTTTCTGCCCCCAAGTGACTGTGGGTGTGTGTCTACAAATGTGCCTTCATGCTTCACTCGCCCTCTATCTTTAAAAATCCCGCAAACATACCTATAAACGAACAATACTCGTTAGTCGTATTCACACCACATACTAATCACTTATTGTACTACACCGAGTAACTGTGATCAATAAACCAATGTCAAGTATGATGGATCTGATCGAACAAGACGAGCCGCGACAAACTTTAAAAAGAAAAGGTCAGAGATTATAGGTAACATCCTCGATCAACACTGGGCGTTATGCGCAAGATTGACGCGTGTTTGTATTCCAAGTACTTCAATAAAATTAATAAAATTTAAATATTTACTGTATAATATATTTCTTGTGCAAGATATAGTGTTCTATTTTGTTTGAAAAGTCGGTAAAGTGCACGCCATAAAAAACTTTCTTGGACATCAGGTCAACAGACGTATACCGAAATGGCGTCTTCTACGAGACGGACGTCTTGGAAAGACGACGAGCTAGTGTCAAAAATAAAACATTTTGATACATTGTAAGTATACCAAAATATGTACTGATCCTTTCTACATTGCGCGGCCCTCGTTGTCGAGTTAACAACTCATACTGTATCCGCTGGGATTTTAAACGATGTCCAATGTTTACAATGTTATTACAGTCTGACAATTATATGTGACAGCGCCCCCTCTAGGTATTCTGTGTTTTCGTCCCGATACACCACCCGTATACCGGGCCCGTGTATTGACAGCATACTGTTCACTGATCGAATATACAGCTGTTTCATATTTATATTATATTTTCAATTTCTAGTTATGGTAAGGCTCCACCAGGGCTACTCAAAGTAAGTGTGAAAAGGAGTGTTTTATATTCGTCACTTTTCGTGTGTTTTTTGTGTGTATTGTATCAGAGGTACATTACTTGGGGTTTGCAACTTCGGTGACATGATACCAAGATCCCGTTACAATCTCGCTCTCACATAAGCGTTCCAACTCAGAAAAATGCGAATGCGCATGCCCAAGGTAACTAGGATACTGGGATGTCCAGATGGATCAAAATAGCTGCCCACGATATGACGGATTACGAGAACTATATTTTCTGTACATTTTCGATGTATTACATTTTTCACTATGATAGTGGCAAGAAAAGTTTTATTTTTTCATTACAAACCTTGACCATTGATATATGTCATGTCTGAAGGTCGTAGCCGCAGTTGTCGGTAGAGGTGAGAATTTTTATCATGATTTTTTCCTCAGCTACACCAGCTGAGGATAAGTTATGTTCAGTGAACAGTTTAATCCTCTCCTCTTTGTGCAGTTTGCATTTTAGCAGAAAGTGTTTCTCGTCTTCTACTTCATCAAGATCACAGACTTTGCATTTTCTATGTATCACAGCCAATGATGTAAATTAATTCTATGTTACAATTATTTATTGTGAACAGAAAAGAGAAGTGCGTCCTGAAGACTGTATACCGGATAAACCAGAAAACAAAGATGCCCGTGACTTTCTATCTAATGCACCAACAAAAGGATTATGGATGCCGTTGGGAAAACAAGTCAAAGTTATGAAATGTAAATATATTACTACTGGTACATCGCTCAGATATAACGTGCAGAGTGTAGGAGTGATATGCTAACTACTGAACAAACCAGTCAGCTTAGCTGCATGAGTGTGAACTAAGCTTGCAAACTTTCAGATGTACTTTGCTACATCCTGCATTGCACTGGATGTAGACTGGCAAAGTCGGGACTTCTTTTTTTGTTTTACAAAAAGAAACAATTAATTGTTCTTTTATTCCTTTTAGCGTGATCACGAAAACTAACCTGACCGCTAAAGAAATCCTGACCGGACACATCTGCGAGCATTTGACTCCTATGAATTATTCATGATGTCATTGATTATGAGTGGGTGTATGAAAGTAAACATGACCTTTTAAAGGTTGATTGGATTCGATCACTGAGATGGATACTTTAACTTTCTAAGTGCGAAAGCAATACTTTCATCCATGTTTACTGAAAACAAGTCAATTTAAATGTCCAATGTATATAAGTAGTCTTTCAAAATCGCCGGGATCTCAGAAGTGAAAGGTCACGATAATTAACATAGATAAGAGATGACGTATACAGCTACACTCTGATTCGTTGTCAATGCTAGTCAACATCTTTAATTAGCATAATCACCAGAGTGATTCCGCTCCAGTTTTCACTCCAACACAGGGGGTCGCCTGCAGATGCGTCCAGACGGTATTTCTTTTGCAGTCACGCTAGTTTTCGTGATCACGTTAAAAAAGCTAAATTGACAATCAATTACATTTTTTTGTAAAACAAAAAAAGATGTCCCGACTTTGCTAGTCTACACTGGATGTTGCTATAGACACCCAGTTGACACCAAGCTTGATTTTACAGCAATTGAATTATAAATAATAATATTAACTTTATTACATCCAAAAACTGTGTTTATCATTTTTCGCCATAGAAAGCTGAACCCAATATATTGTTATTGTTCTTCATAGGTTGGAGATGTAAGGCATATGGACATAGAACTGCTGACAAGGAATGTCCATTGTTTATTCAGGGAAATGCTGTTAGTGAGAACTTTAGAGTGGTATGTAGTATTGAAAAAATAAGCTTATATTTTGTGATGAGAAATGAACGAATATCTAGCTGCAATAAAGACTGCATGCAACAGCTGCATGAACAATGATTGGTGTAATGATACCATGTGATTTGAATAATTTGCTAGTGCATCATGGGATCTTTTTCTAATTACCATATATATGCAGCGTGCATGGTGACTCATTTTGCTCATATTTATATTAAACTGAGACTAACATCAGAAGATTTTATGAATTGACATGAGGTTTAACTAATCTTATATGATTACATCAATATTTTTACAGACACATGAGGACCCAATGCATGAATATATTCTCAAAACTAGAATGAAGAAAAAAGAAGAAAGGTAAACATTTTTAGACGATTGCGGAAATAAATTGAAATCAATGTTATATTAACTTGTATATGTTTATTAGACACAACACTGTCTCTCTGTAAGGTCACTAAAGTTACATAACAAGAACAAAATAAGGGTAACAAAACAAACAAATAATAAAAAATGTAATCAGCTCTCTCTATAGAATGATTTGTTGTCCAAAAGTTGTACTTAATTATGTGTAAGCATGGTTGCAGCCTGTGGATATACTACTGTAGATTACTTTATTTTTGCTTGGAATTAATTTTCAATGTTTCAGTGAAAATAAAATGCAGCGAATATACCTTTTTACCCATATTTTACATTCAACTCGTCAAAAATCAGTAAAAATAAAATCCATACAAAACAGCCAAAAAGTCTATTCAGCGAAAATTTATTCCAACTAAATTAAAGTATTTTATATTCAGATAGATGTAGGTTCATAGCTCAGGACACCGAATGTATCAGAAATGACTTAAATAGAGACTAAAGACTGACACAAGATGAGCTGTCAAGCCACAGCTACACTGCATGTACAGACCAACACACATGATCTAACACCATTATTTGAAATTAAGGTAGAGATGCAGTGGTAGGTCATGTAAAAGAGGTAAGGTGTCACAGAATTCATTTTATGTTTGTGAATATAACCAAGTGATATTTTCTTTTAGGATAATGCAGCTGCAGGCACTGTTAGATTCTTCAACCACCGACTCCGATAATGACGACAAACCAGCGAGACAACAAGAGAAAAGGCGGCGAAAAAAAAGATCACGAAATGAAAAAGATGGGCAGTATCAAAGAGAAGATGGTAGTCCACGAAGTGATGTATGCACGAGCACACACAGACAAACTACAGATCTTAGTGGTTGTAGGGAATATTCATACGGGGATAAAAATATTCGAGCTGATCAAAAGGAAATGAAAGAAGGACGAAAAAGAGCCTCGGAAGATGTTATACTTGATGCAAGACAAGAAAGCAAGGTCGCGAGAAGACATGACAGACATAAGAGGAAAAATGGAAGCGCATCAGACACTAAAAAAAGTCATGAGAAAGACTACCATAGGATTAAATATGATGGTGATAAACACAGGAAAAAAAAGTCCAAGCATAAAAAACACAAACACAACAAGAAACATCATTAAATATAGACTTGAAGTTATAAAATCAGGACTTGTTGATGGGTCTATGTCTGTTTGTCGGCCCTTTCATCTGGGTCTTATTTTGATTATTATCACTTAAACAAGACACGTGTCTATACAATGTATACCTCTATATGTAGTAATA